CGTTACAAAACGCCTATTTATTACTTTAGTTCGACCAACACTAGAGTATGGTTGTATTTTATGGAGCCCCTCCTACAAGTGTTATTCTGATAAAATAGAATCTGTCCAAACTCAATTTCTTTTGTTTGCTTTGTGGGGTCTACAATGGGACCCATCTGTAAGGCTCCCCTCATATGAAAGTCGCTTAATGTTAATAGATTTGCCTACCCTTGAAAGTAGACGTTTTATGCTAAGGGCGATTTTTATAATAAAATTGATACGTGGCTTAATCGATTCCCCTAATTTATTAAATGAAATAAAGTTCAATATTCCATCCCGTACTACCCGTAACTTTATCCCAATAAATTTACAGCTCGTAAGATCTAATTATGAAGCTAGTAGTCCAATGCGAACTTTGTGTGAAATATTTAACAATATATATAGTAGCTTATCACTGACTGAACCATTAGATATAATAAAAAAATTACTATTGCGTATGTAGCAGAGTGCCAGATGTGTAGTTTTTAAATATTAGAGTGATTCTATATTTACTTTAATTATAAATGTGTTTATTTATAGTAGTCTATGCCGGCTGATAAAATATGTAGCCGGTCATCCCACCATTTACTAACCCCTCCATAGTCCGGTCTATGGGGTTTCGCGTTCCCTTCGATATAGGGAGGTCGCCCCCATGGTCGGTTGGGGCGGGTGCGAGTGGCGTGGGACCGAACGAAGAAAAAAAAGAAAAAAAAATTCTCTCTAGGTAATGTTGATATACAAATTATTTGTTGGTCATATTCAAATGAACTATTTAAGCTTTCATATATATCCGATTATCCGTTCAAAAGTTATACGATTTGTCGACTAGACTTATAAAACTGATGTGTCTGATTTGAATCATACCCATCAATAGATAGCGCAGACGACGCGATTATAATTGTATCCATTATTGTGAATTAAATAAATTTATAAAATTCCATATTTATTAATTTGAAATTAGCTTTAGATGAAATGGGTTTCATTTTTCTGTTACAATGGGATCTCCGGTAAATCCTTATAAAACCCGTTAATAAAGAAGATATTAGGAGCTAAATTATCCCATTGATTTATCTCCGTATAATTATGCGTTAAAAAAAGTTGTGAAGAATCCCAGAAAGCTGGAATTGTCTGTCAACATGGCAAATCTGTTAAACAATCGTTGTTCGTGTATGCAGACTAGTAATCCATTGGAATTATTTCTATATCGTTACGCATTCATTCATGAACTTGATTTGCATGATTTGAATCATGTCCCTCAATAGATGGCGCTGACGACGCGTTTATAAAAATTGCACAGCTCATTTATGTTTGTTATATCTTTATTCGTATTGCTGGTATTCAAATGAATGTGGTGTCATATGAAATGTATACTTTTTTTGAAATAAAAAAAATCAAAATTATTTGAAATTGGAATTGGATAATTCGGAGTTTCAAGATAAGGTTCATAAGGAATGGGATATTAGGTGTGGGAGGTACCAGAAGGAGTGGAACGTTGGGTCTCATCTTCGAACTTGACTTAAGTTGAACAAGTGAAAAAGCGTTAAGTTCGGCCGGGCCGATCTTTGTACACCCTCCAACATAGATATACTGACAGGTACTTGAAATGAAAATATAGGGAAAATACCAAAAAGCGGCCTCACATCGACATTTCTACAAACCGATTACGTAAACCATGATACAAATTTCAGAATTTTTTAATGGATAATTATACTCTCAGTCATATGGCTAATGAGGGTGTTTACACTTTGGCACGGTGAAAATGAGCCTCATCGAAATATTGGTTCTAGACCCCATGTTTCTTTGGACAAAATTTGTTTCAGAAAATTTTGATGTCATCCAAACTTTGCCCATCTTATTATTTCTTCCAAACTTAGTTCAAGTTCGAAGATGGGGAATATCGGTCCACTCCATCTGGTACTTTCCACAGAGGGGCTGGCCTAAATGTGGTTTATTTTCCATATATAGTTCATTATCGAACCTTACGTTCTGGTTTTTTATCTCGATATCCTCCGCAGGTGAAATGTCTTAGAACCAAACCCAAAACGCGGAACAAATTAGATAACTATTTTAATATATAATAATATTTCAGCACCCTATCTCAATTCCTTCAGAAGATAGCGTGATTACAACAGACGGACGGGTAGACCGACGAACATGGCTCGATCATCTTAGAATTTTACCCTAATCAAGAATATTTCAAGAATATTTCGATTAGTTGCAAACGGAATGACAAAATAAATATACCCTCCATACTATGGTGGAGGGTATAAAAATTGGGTTATATGGGAACTACCCCATATAATTTTTGGTGGGGAGATTTGTTAGCATATACGACTACAAAATACCAAATTGCAACGCATTCGGTAGAAAAACGCGCTCAAGAACCCCAAAATACCAAAAATAGGGGTACCCTTATTATACCAAAAAATAGGGGTACCCTTATACGGGGGCTATCCAAAAAAAATGGACCTATATTCATAAATTGTTTGCATAGAGATTTGGTACCTATTAAGAACTCAAAATACTAAATTACAGACAATTCGGTGGAAAAATACGATCAAAAACCCCAAAATACTGAAAATTAAGAGGTACCGTTATATGGGGGTCTCCAGAAAAAGTGGACATATATTTATTATTTTTTGTGGAGGCATTTAGTACCCAATTTCAGCGAATTCGGATGAAAGCCGGGCTCAAGAACTCCAAAATACCGAAAATTGGGGGGTACCGTTTATGGGAGCTATGCCTCAACGTGGACCGATATATCCCATCTTCAAGCTTGACCTGCCTGCAGACAAAAGACAAAATTATGCAAAATGTCAGCACCCTATCTCAGTTTCTTCAGAAGAAATGGACCTATATATATATATATATATATATCATTTTTTGTAGCGAGATTTGGTACCTATTACGAACTCAAAATACAAAATTACAAGCAATTCGGGGGAAAAATTGAGGGGTACCCTTATATAATTTTTAATGGGAATTTTGTTATTACCCAAATTTGAGCGAATTTTGTTGAAAAACGCCCTCAAGAACCTCAAAATTCCGAAAATTGGGGGTACCCCTATATGGGAGCTATGCCTAAACGTAGACCGATACAAAATTACAAAATTAATAATAAAATAATAAAAAAAAACAAAATATATGTATAAAAAGAATATTACGATGTCCGTTTTTGTATTCCATTCCATACAATTGTTATGGGATTAACATATTTTTAAAATATTGACCACTCTGTGGGGGAGGTACTAGAAGTAATATGTCGTCGATAAGTCCCATTTTCCAATAATATACAGGTTTGCTAATAATATTAGATTATGTAAAGATTGGTTCAATTCGGTACTATCCGATGATATTATAAAATTAGCAACATTTTGACCATTTCGATGTTTTAACCATTTCAGTTGAAAATAGAAACAAAACATAAAGAATGTGCAATATTTGAACACATTTAAAATTTTTTTTAATTTTGTTCCACGATTTTGTTTAGTTCCCTAAGAGATATGGATTCGATGTATTTGGGTAATACGGATGTACAAAATATTTTGGAACTCGTAACTTCGTTATATGAATACACCTGGCTTTGCCATGAACATATTCGACATATTCGCCTTCTGCAATTGATTCAAAAGTATTGCATATTTTCAGGCGAAATCATTTATTTTCAAATAAAATATTATATTACCTTTTAAATTTCCATTTATAAAAAACAGATTATTTTTCAAAATAATTTTAATTTTTTTTTATTAGTTTTCTTCTTGTTTTCATAATTTGTTGAATTTTGTTTCTAGCCTAAGAATATCTTTTAGAAAGGTCATACAATAATATCGCTTCATTTCGCTCATACTTATAACTATTACACATATTTATTTTGTTCAAACATTGTTATGCAATAAATTAAATAAAGAAATTAAAAACTAAAAAATAAAACAAATAAATAATTTTGTATAATGTAAGAAAAATAAATGTACTAAAATTAATATCTAAGTAGTAAGTAGCCAATTTTTCGTTTTTTTAATTTTAAAATATTATTTTTTATAGTAGATGGAGCCTAATTAAAATCTAATAATAGTTTAGAGCTAATTATTTAAAAAAATATATATTAAATTGAATACATTGTTTATAAAACCTTAAAGGTAACACTGTAAAGTGATTTTTTGCGGTAAAACTAAAGCAGGGAGGGGAGGTTTTCTCTTATAAAAAATAATTTAAAATAAAAAATATGTTATGTATAAATTAATTTTAATTAAAAAATAATTTTTTGTATAAAATATTTTTTTTTATTAAAAATTAATTTTTATATAAAAAAATTATTTCAAATTTTTTATTTTATTTTTTTTTAGAAAAAAAATTGATTTTCCCCTCTCTGCTTAAATTTTACTAACAATTACACTAGAATTTAATTTTAAATTAATATTAAATTTTTTAAACAAATTAATTGGGAGGTTTATCACAATGATATCATCACTTATAAATAGGGTGTGATTGTATGTTTTTTATATATATTTAATATTAAAATTTAATTTTTATTTTCTTCTTTTTCAAAAGGTCTCAAAATCATTGTCAAAAAACACTGGGTATTTTTTCTTCATCTATCTTAGAGAGAGTGTGTGAAAAAAACATGGCTGCCATAACAGGTGGTTGTACTTAAAACATAACCTTAAAAATATTTATGTCAACTTACAACTAATTTTCGTTCGTCATAATCGGTCTATTTAAGCGTCCATATTTTTGTCGATGTTTTTTTTTTTTAATTTGTCAATTTAAAAATAATATTTTTTATCACAATGTAATTTGTGTCCGTTTAAATTTTTTGTTTGATAGTCATTAATTGTAGGATACGTCATCTATCTAATCGGAATAAAAGAATCGGAAGAAAAGAAGGGAGAGAGAGTGAGAAAATTGAAAGAATAAAAATTAAATATTTTTTTGAAGAGTCTTGCCAATTAAGTTTCTTAAAACTGTTTGAAAAAATAGTTAGCTAGCCTTCAAGTCCGGTCACCAGTGTTCAAGGTCCCTTATGCGATTTATAGGAGGATTTCTGCAAAGAAAAAAATATGGAGATCAATTAATTGGCAATTAACCACAATTCTATACACTTTTGAATACATACGGTAACATTCTTGACAAGGCATGTTTATGTAGTGGTGATATCTGCTGCATTGCCGCTGCCGATGCTATCGAAGAACTTGAATCTTGAGACATAGTCCTTTGCATATGCATAGGGTGCGCTTGTATCTGTTGAGCCCTACGGAATGGATAACGCCATGGACTTTTTGGCACATCACTTTGATAGGCTTTATTATCCACACCACCTCCGACGCCACCACCACCACTACTCGTTGAATGGTGACCATGTGGCAAATGTGTCACTTGGTGATGTCCTGCACCACCACCCACACTACTACTACTGCCTGCAGCTCCACCACTCATATGTGATGACATAGCATTCATACTTGTATTGCCACGATGTGTCTGCGGCATAGAATTATCCCGAGCCTTTGAGGAGAGACGTCGCAGAATACGTGAACCCAAACCGGGTGGATCTTCTAAACTGCGACTGGTACGTTTACGATAACGCACATCGCTGGATTCCTCCAGAATGACATGTCGGTCATATGGTGTACCATAGTATACCTCGAGAACGGTGGAGAAGGTGTGTGGCCAAACCAAATCGATAATGGATATTAGAACACCAGCCACAAAGCAGAGGATGCCTGGGAAATTAAAAATAAAATTTTAAGGAATTATTTAACATTTTTACAAAAAAAAATTAAGTTTGGATTTTTTAAAAATATATTTTAGAGGTATAACACAAGGCGTGGATATTTTTTCAAGGTGTAGAATTTTTAAAAATATTTTTTCGAGAACTAACACAATGCGTATATTTTTTTAAAATATTTTTTGAGGTCTAATACAAGGCGTGGATATTTTTTGAAGATGTAGATTTTTTAAAAATATTTTTTAAGGTCTAATACAAGGCGTGGATATTTTTTGAAGGCATAGATTTTTTAAAAACATATTTTTTAAGGCATAGATTAAAAAGAAATATTATTAGAAGTTGCAAATTTTTAAAAAAATATGTTTTTAACGCGTAGATTTTTTAAAAAATATTTTTTAAGGCGTGAATTTTTTAAAAAATATTTTTAGGACGTGGATTTTTTAAAAAATATTTTTTAAGGCGTAGATTTTGAAAAAAATATATTTGAATGCGTAGATTTTTTAAAAAATATTTTTTTAAGGGCGTAGATTTTTTAAAAATATTTTTTTAAAGCGTAGATTTTTTAAAAAATTTTTTTGAAGTCGTAGATCTTTTAAAAAATATTTTGTGAAGGCGTAGATTTTTTACAAATATTTTTTGAAGGCGTAGATTTTTATACCCTACACAACTATGTTGTCAGGGTATTATAGCTTTGTGGAGCCCCAGAAGTTTGTAACGCCGCGAAATATTGGTCCTAGACCCACCTTTAAGTATACCGATCGTCATATCTCGACTAGCTGAGTCGATCTAGACATGTGTGTCCGTCCGTCCGTCCGTCTGTCCATTATAATTTGTAAACACGATACAGGCCACAGTTATGGACCAAACTTCACGAAATTTTGCATGTAGGATGGGTCCTGGCCAATGAAGACCCCTATTGTTTTTGGAAAAGATCGGTTAATATTTAGGGGATGAAATGGACCAAAAACTTAATTTTTGTCGGTTTTTCTGGTCGCTCCAGAGGCCGCAATAATGGCCCGAACATCGTGAATTTTTGCATGGAGAAGGGGATCAGGCCAAAGAATAAGCATGCCTGTTTTGATAAAGATCGGTCAATATTTAGCGGGTCAAATGGACCCTAACTTTTGTGTGAAAAATGACAAAATTTGTATTCTATAGCGTATATATTTACCACTGAAGGACATAGACCCGAGAAGTTGATAGTATATCCAAGAGGAGTGGTTGACCATTAAATTGATACCAATTATATTGTCGTAGGTACTCGGATGCGGGAGTTACACTTAAATATTTACAGGTGCTTATGTATTCATATATTATTTAGTAACCTATTATCACAGTGGAGGGCGGAAATATAGCGATGATCGCTTTGAAATGTTCCATGAGGTTCCAGTTATGGTCAAGGACAACGCCTAAAATGTTAGGTGATGATCAGATAATATTTTTCGGATGAAGTGGACTGAAAACTTAATTATTTGTACTTTTCGAGTCGAAAGCCGAACATCACAACACAACCCACGGTGAAGGGAATCTGTACAAGTAATTAAAGGTGTTGTACTGATTATTAGTAACATTTGCTGGCCTCTAGTCATTAAAAAGTGTGTAAATATTGCGAAATATTGCCCAATCTCAGAATATAGAACCACAGAAAGTTGGATATTCATGGAAGTTGTGTAGGGTATCGTATGGTCGGCCCCGTCCGACTATACAGCTCCGCTCACTGGTTTAAAAAATATTTTTTGAAGGCGTAGATTTTACAAAAAAAAATATTTTTTGAAGGCGTAGATTTTACAAAAAAAAAAAAATTTTTGAAGGCGTAGATTCTTTAAAAAAATATTTTTTGAAGGCGTAGATTTTTTAAAAAAATATTTTTTGAAGGCGTAGATTTTTTAAAAACTATTTTTTGAAGGCGTAGATTTTTTAAAAAAATTTTTTTTGAAGGCGTAGATTCTTTAAAAAATATTTTTTGAAGGCGTAGATTCTTTAAAAAATATTTTTTGAAGGCGTAGATTCTTTAAAAAATATTTTTTGAAGGCGTAGATTTTTTAAAATATATTTTTTTGAAGGCGTATATTTTTTAAAAAATATTTTTTGAAGGCGTAGATTTTTTAAAAAAATATTTTTTGAAGGCGTAGATTTTTTTAAAAATATTTTTTGAAGGGGTAGATTTTTTATAAAATATTTTTTGAAGGCGTAGATTTAAAAAAAAAAATTTTGAAGGCGTAGATTTAAAAAAAAAATTTAAGTCGTAGATTTAAAAAAACATTTTTGAAGGCGTAGATTTAAAAAAAAATTGAAGTCGTAGATTTAAAAAAAAATTTGAAGGCGTACATATTAAAAAAATTGAAGGCAAAAATTTTTTTAAAAAAATTCGAGGCGTACATATTAAAAAAATTGAAGGCAAAAATTTTTTAAAAAAATTCGAGGCGTAGATTTAAAAAAAAAATTGAAGGTGTAGATTTAAAAAAAAAAATTGAAGGCGCAGATTTAAAAAAAAAAAAAATTTGATTGCGTAGATTAAAAAAAATCAAGGCATATTGAGGCGTAGATTTTTTAAGAAATATTTTTTAAAAAATATTTTTTCTAGACATATTGGAGGCGTAGATTTTTTTAAGAAATATTTTTTCAAGGCATATTGAAGGCGTAGATTTTTTAAGAAATATTTTTTAAAAAATATTTTTTCAAGGCATATTGAAGGCGTAGATTTTTTAAGAAATATTTTTTCAAGGCATATTGAAGGCGTAGATTTTTTAAGAAATATTTTTTTCAAGGCATATTGAAGGCGTAGATTTTTTAAGAAATATTTTTTCAAGGCATATTGAAGGCGTAGATTTTTTAAGAAATATTTTTTCAAGGCATATTGAAGGCGTAGATTTTTTAAGAAATATTTTTTAAAAAATATTTTTTCAAGGCATATTTAAGGCGTAGATTTTTTAAGAAATATTTTTTAAAAAATATATTTTCAAGGCATATTGAAGGCGTAGATTTTAAGAAATATTTTTTAAAAAATATTTTTTCAAGGCCTATTGAAGGCGTAGATTTTTTAAAAAAAATTTAAAAAAAAAATTCGTGGCGTAGATTTAAAAAAAAAAGAATTGAAGGCGTAGATTTAAAAAAAATTTGAAGGCGCAGATTTAAAAAAAAAAAATTTTGAATGCGTAGATTTAAAAAAAAAATTCAAGGCATATTGAGGCGTAGATTTTTTAAGAAATATTTTTTAAAAAATATTTTTTCTAGACATATTGGAGGCGTAGATTTTTTAAGAAATATTTTTTAAAAATATTTTTTTCAAGGCATATTGAAGGCGTAGATTTTTTAAGAAATATTTTTTTAAAAAATATTTTTTCAAGGCATATTGAAGGCGTAGATTTTTTAAGAAATATTTTTTCAAGGCATATTGAAGGCGTAGATTTTTTAAGAAATATTTTTTCAAGGCATATTGAAGGCGTAGATTTTTTAAGAAATATTTTTTAAAAAATATTTTTTCAAGGCATATTGAAGGCTTAGATTTTTTAAGAAATATTTTTTAAAAAATATTTTTTCAAGGCCTATTGAAGGTGTAGATTTTTTAAGAAATATTTTTCCATCATTCATATTGGAATCGTAGGTTTAATCCTCTCCACAGTCTTCACAAAAATCCTCTTCTTATCTGCATCCGCAGTCCTCTCCCGACTACTATTCCACAAACATTTATACTCTACTTACCAGCATCCCAGAAAACTAACCAAACTACTACTACTACAATATGAATACGTTGTACAACAACAACAAACAAACAATTTGTATTTTTCCTTCACTTACCTGCTACCAATAGCAACCAATAACACCAGCCCAAATGAAATTCCAATCGTCCACCCTCCATATATATGGTCAATGGCCGTTTTGGCAATTGACAATAATAGCCAATATTGGTGCATATCAAAAGTGCACCGGTCAGGGCCTTCATATATGCACCGTAACGTGGCACAGCGATAAGCAGCAAATTCATCATCAGCCACGAGGCCAGGGAGGCCCACAGTAAAATGCTGGCAAAATAGCCGGCAGCACGATACTGGCCACCCCATGAGAAGCCTTCACGGCCGAGACTGAAATATTCGGCAACGGTTAAGATGGGATACGGTAGGCCACGCTTCAGTGCCTCACGATAATTGGTACTCATATCGGTGGCACCCTCCCAGGTGAAACGTTCATTATAATCGATGTCCGGTGGTGTCCAATTGCCAACGGGTATGGCTGTAAATAGCATAGAAGTAGAAGAAGATGAAAAACAAACGGAAATTGAAACAGTTATACGTATATAGATAGACAACAAAACAAACAAACAAAAATACATACAAAGAGTCGGCGACAGAGAGAGAGAAGCACAAAAACAAACATTAATTTTTCATTTTCAATTGCAATGTTGGGTTGCTGGTTTCGTAGTACTGGCCATGGAGGGATCAGGGGAAGGGTGTTCATGGTCGTTGACCATGCCGCAGTTGTTAATATTTTTGGATATTGTCATTGTTGTTCGGTTCGTTTTGGTTATTTGCTCACATGATGTCCAGGCCTATAGACTTTTTTTTGCTACCTCTTAACATCGCCCCAAAATATAGTCTTCAGACAGTCACAGAGAAATTGTTGCCCCCCGAAAAAAACTTTGCACTGATATTTTGGTGGGGTTTGTTTACAATCGGTATTTATTTACTTTTGAACTGTCTATAAGTCTGGCGATGCGATTTTTTTTCTGGCTACCATTCTGTTTACTCTGGCTTACACATAAAAATTGATAACCATTAATTAAATGAAAAATGCTTTATTTTGTTTGTATAAGAATTATTGAAGAGGTCTGGTGAGCCGACATTTGAAAGTGATTTAAATACAAATGTTTAATATTAAATAAAAAATTGAGTGAATATTGGAAGCGAAGATTTTAATAAAATGTAAGTTGTTCGATCGAGACGAAAATTTGCATTGAGTCTAGAATGACGTGTATACAATTTGAGCACCAAACACCCAAGTTTTCTTTAATAAGCATCTCCTGCATGTGCTCATGTTGGTACGTTAAATCATAGTCAATCGATGACGGGTCCGCATATTGAATGTGGAAAGAAATATAAA